GCTCAGTGAAAAAAGATAATTTCAAAAGTTCACAAAATGTATGATCCCATTTATGTAACCTTCTCTAAAAGACATACTTGTACAGGGGCGACTGGGTGGCTCAGTCTGTTGAGCATCCAGTTTTTGGTTTTGGCTCAGGTAGTGATTTCATGGGTTGTGGGATTGACTCCCGCATCTGGCTCATGCTCAGCAGGGAGTCTGCTTGAAAGATTCTCTCCCTCTGTCCCTCCCCCTCCCCCTTCCCCCATGAACTCTCTCTCTAATAATAAATAAACAAATCTTAAAAAAAAAACAACAGGGGCGCCTGGGTGGCTCAGCTGGTTAAGCGACTGCCTTCGGCTCAGGTCATGATCCTGGAGTCCCTGGATTGAGTCCCGCATTGGGCTCCCTACTCGGCGGGGAGCCTGCTTCTCCCTCTGACCCTCCCCCCTCTCATGTGCTCTCTCTCCCTCTCTCATTCTGTCTCAAATAAATAAATAAAATCTTTAAAAAAAAAAACATACTTGTACAGCTGGAGAAAGATCAGTGGTTGCCAAGGGTTAGGGATGGCTTGGTGGGGAAGGAGGATGGATATGACCATAAAGGAGTAGCAAGAGGGAGATTTCTCTGCCTGATGGGATAGCTCTGTATCCTTATGCGGTGTCTACACATGTGATAAAATGGCACAGAGTGACACACAGACTTAATACTGATGTCAGTTTCCTGGTTTTGATATTGTACTATAGTAAAATATATGCAATGTAACTACTGAGGGAAATTGGGTGAAAGGTACATGGAGTTTCTGTACTATCTATGCAATTTCCTGTGAATCTATCATTATTTTAAAACAAAAAGTTAAAAAATTTCAGGAAGAATCTAAATTTTAAGTAAGGGTTCGATTAAATTTGGGAATGCCTATGCAATAGCCTGCCCACCCTGCTCCTGAAAAAGTATATCTGCATGTATATATAGGCACATGTATAAACTTGCGTGTGTATTTGCGTGTGTCTGGATTTCTGGAGCAGACTCTGATTGGGCCAGGTTGTGTCAGGCATCTATCCTAGCCCTCATTAAATTTGTCTCACAGCAACTCAGAGTACCCACTTTGGATGGGGAGGCAGTTAAGAAAGTCCCTTTTGCACTGGTTAGATACCCCGAGAACGGGGAGGAACCAGGAGGAGCACCTACACTTAAGGGGTCGGAAGAATAGGAGGTGGCAAAAGCAAATAAGAAGGCACAGCTAGAGAGCTAGAAAGAAGGCCATGAAGGGTTCCTGGACCCAATTCCAATGTGGGGGTGAGGGGGGTCCCCACATAGCACCAAACAATTCTCAGACCCTGGCAGGTGTCCAAGATTTCAACTCATTTCTGACACTATCTACCCAGAGATAGCATCAGAATCCAGGGGTGAAGGGCTCAGTCCTACAAGGCAACCCCAGGCTATTATCTGGACTTCCGACCAACCTGCTATAGATTGGAAGTTCCAATTACCCCCCTCCTTGGCAACTCAATTCAGATGCCAGTCCCAAGCCCAGGTTGTTACCTGTACTTCTGACTGACTGACTAGAAATCAGAGGTTCCCAAGATCCCCTCCTCAGGTTTGATTAATTTGCTAGAGCAGCTCACAGAACTCAGAGAAACATGTTGCTAGATCACCAGTTTATTATTAAAGGATATAACTCAAGAAGAGCAAGATGGAAAAGATGCCTAGGGCAGGGTATGGGGAAAGGGCGCAGAGCGTCCCTGCCCTCTCTAGGTATACCACTTTCCCTGAACCTCTGGGTGTTTACCAGTCCAGAAGCTCTTCAAACTCTGTCCTTTTTGGGTTTAAAGGAGGCTTCATTACATAGGCTTACTTGATGAAATCATTGGCCACTGGCAGTAGATTCCATCTCCATCCCTTCTACGCCTCCAGGAGGTCAGGGGGTGGGGCTGAAAGTTCCAACCTTCTAATCACAGGGGTTGGTTCTTCTGGCAACAAGCTACCCTCCTTCTGTGCTGTCCAAAAGTCATCCATCAGCATGACAAAGACACTTTATCACTCTCAACACTAAGGGAAGTCTGAGGGTTTTGGAAGCTGTGAGCCAGGAACTGTGGGCAAAAACTAAGTATATATGAGAAGTGCATTTTGGTCAGCTGAATGCGCAAATAGGTATTTCTTATAAATCACAATATCGGAGGTCAGAAAAGAGGGAGGTGGACAGATGCTCAGGAGAGACCCATATCAAGATGGAGACAGCAGCCAAGTGACCCAACATTGCCCAAAGGTAGGGTAAGGAGGACTGGACAGTGTGCTCCTGAGATGGTAGATGGGGGTCATATCTGGCAGCCTGCAGTAGGGGCAGAAGAAGAAAGATAGCTAGTATAGACAGGCATTCTAGACTCCAGGACCTAGATGAAGATGGAGATAGGGCAGTGGCTAGAGGGAAGTCTTGTGATCTAGAAAGTATTTTTTCTTATTTCTTTAGGCCAGAGACTTCCACCTGTTATTAGAAGCCAGTGAAGCCAGTGGGGAAGGAGTGGTTCACTTTCAAGCCCCAGCACAGAGCCCAGAGGGCCCCAGAGAGGGTGCTAGGCTGTGTGGGGGCTGCAGGACCACAGCTCAGAGGAAGGACAGCCTCTGGTCAGGGAGAAATCCCCAGGACAGACCTCTGGTTTCATACACAGAAAATGTGGTCCTTCTGGTGGCCGAATGAAGGTGCTTCAGAAGCTTCGATGGTGAAGACTAAAGATTTTAGTAAAAAACCTCCCACTTTTCTGAAGATTCTTAAGAACTCATGCTTTAGAGCTGTGTTTCCCAAACTAGCATGCCTCAGAATCACCTGGAAGCTTTCTGGAGGCCCAGAGTTTCTGATTCTGTAGGCCTGATTGGGGGAGCGGTGGGGGAGACAAGTATTTGTACTTCTAACAAGATCCCAGGGGATGCTGATGCTGCGGTCCACCTTGAGAGTCTGCTACAGGGCCTGGTTCTCAAAATCCTTATGTGGCCAGGAATTAGAAATAAGGCCAATTTATTGAACATGTCCAAGTCAAATAAAAATGTAATTAGTTGCAAAAAAATGCAAAACTGTGAAAATAAGGAAAAATTATTAGAGGGAATGTGACACTTTTAAAGAAGATTGGTTTTACAATGAAGTCGTTAGGATATTACACACAAAGGGCCGACTGGCCCCATATTCCGTGACAGTGTTGAGAAGGATGCTGGCTTTAGCATTGGGAGATGTGGGTCCATCCCAGCTTTATCACTCACTGGTTTCAAAATGTGTGGGTACCTCTCCTGACCTCCCTCCCTTCACTTTTAAATGAGGGTTAGGGAGACTCTCCATTCTTTCACAAAAGCATGATGATGTGAGAGTACTTTGAAAAAGATAAAGCCTTATATAAATAAAAATTACTATTTTACTCTGAAGAAGTTATTCTACAGGGGAATTAATTAGCATAATTGATATATTTTTAAAGTGAGTATAACATTCTGATTCATATTTACATAATCACCAGTGTGTCTTCATAATTTTAAAGGTATTTCCTTCACCTCCACCGCTTTGCAATTCTCTGGAATTTTCTGCTCAGCAGGGAATCTCTATGCGATATTTCTGGACCGGACTTTTAGCCAAAATCCACTGGCATCTAGAGAGAACAAAGCATCTAATTAAACTGCAGAAGTAGCTGTGCTAGAAAACAGAGAGTGGGGAATCGAATGGCTCAGAAGCAGTGAGGCCAACACTTCGTATTTAACCCTTGCACACCCAGCTCCACGCTCCTTGGGCATAGCAGGCGATGGGAAAGTGAGTTTGGAGCTTCAACCTGTCACATTCGTCATAGCTACTTGCCGTGGTCTGTGGAGCTGCATCCATCTGGCTCTTCCGATTTGAAAAGAGTCGTTTGAAGTCTGTCCACTTGCCTCTCCTTCCAAGCTCCTGTCACATCTGCCGTCCACAATGATGTTAGGGTCCAGAGCCAGCCCCAGTGCTTGTCCAGAATTCTCTCCCAATTTGCTGTGAAGTCAGAACCCCAGATGAAGGTCCAGAGCCAGCCCCAGTGCTTGTCCAGAATTCTCTCCCAATTTGCTGTGAAGTCAGAACCCCAGATGAAGGTGGGGAAAGAATGGAGCGTGCCTCTTCTCCTCCCCACTCCCCAACTCAGCTCCTCACAGCTGAGCCCAGAAGTTTGCTACTCATTTTTCCAAACTAATCAGATTTTATTCACTTGCCTTTTAGAGCACAAGGAGGTGGGGAAGGAAGGAACCTTCGAGAGGTATTGGGGAAAGTGGGTTTAAAGTGGAATCTCAGCTGCAGCTCTGCCCCTCCAATGAGAACGTTCGCTGTTCCTTCCTCAGCATCCCCACCTGTCCTGTCTCTGAAGTCCCACTCACACCTGCACTGCTGCCATGGCAAAGGGAAAAGCTTCCTCAAGAAAACGTTCAGAACTGTAGACGTGGGCTCAGGGTGGAGGTGTGGGGGTGGAGGTGGGGGGCAAGCGAGGGCAAGGCCTTCCAGGTGCAGCACGTGGAATGGGGAAGAGCCCCGGGCCAGGCTGCCTGGGCTTGACTCCAGCTCTGAGGCTTCTTGGTGTCAGGTGAGTTATCCAAACATTCAGGCTCTGAGTGGTGCATCCACACAATGGAGATGATAAAGATATTTCCCTCAGAGGACCGTTGAGTACGTGCAATGAGATATGGCACAAGATCAAGCTTAATGACCTTGGTGGTTGTAACAGTTAAGGAGCATGGCTTATAATTTTTAAGAGGGGCTGTGGTTTTAGCATCTTGGGGTGGTTCTTGGTAGGATGCAGACAAATGTGTTCGGAAACCAGGGAGAAGTCCAAAGATGGCCTCTGCAAATGGCTCAGCTAGAACCATTTGTTACCATGGCAATGCATTCCCTCCAGATGCGTGTGCTTCAGCTCAAAATTCTGAGGACTGCACTTCCTTCGGTGGTTCAAGGAGATCTGAAGCCCAGGCCTCTGGCAAAGGGTTCTGTCCAGAGACAATAACACCCCGTGTTTCTCTTTTCTCTTCCATAGACCTCAGAGGACGAGCCTTCTGAAAAAGATGCTCTGCAGCCAGGCCGAAATATCGTGGCTGCAGGCTATGCCCTCTATGGTAGTGCAACCCTCGTGGCTCTTTCCACTGGGCAAGGCGTGGACCTCTTCATGCTCGACCCAGTAGGTACCTAATGTAGCAGTATCAGTACATAGGACTCCATGCGTCTCTGCACGAATCCCAGTCGGCTGGGGTAATTTTCTGGTCATTCTTAATACTTGCTTTTAGGACAAGAGAGGCTAGTTGGGGAATCAACACCAACATCAAAAAACATTAATGACCTGTGTCCAATGGAGGGCGTTTGAAGTGTTCTGTGGGGTCTGTCGTATCAACCAGGCTCTGCCCTTAAGGAGTTTCTAATCCAAAAATGCATCCAATCTCTTTGGCTTATAGAAATACAATAATTTAAAAAACCCCAATGTTACCGATATCTAGACAGAAACATGGATTTTTTAGAGCAGCACCATCCAATAGAACTTTCTGTGACCATGCATATGTTCTGTAATCTGTGCTGTCCTCATGTGGCTATTGAACACTTGCAATGTGGTTAGTGTGACTAAGAAACTCAGTTTTAAAACTTTATGTCATTTTAATTAACTTAAATTGCCACACGTGACTAGTGGTTACCCTATTGGACAGCATGGGTTTGTGGGACTGCCGCTAAAGTAGATGTTCTTCCCAATTAAGTAAAGGATGTTACCGTATTAGTGGTAAAGCTCAGGACACAGGCTGGAAATGGGCAGGTCTTGAGGCCTAGGATGCAGGAGTCCCAGGAACGGGCTTGCAGCATGGCCAGTCTGGTCTGGACACTACCCCTGATTCTGTGTCTCTCACTCAGGTTTCAAGTGCCAGGGAGGAATATCTAATTTGCCAAGCTAAGTCAAATGCCTGACCTTGGGCTGGAGGAGGCTCAGTCTTCGTAGATTGGCATCCAATGAGAAGAGTTACTTCTTCAAAGGGAGTTAGGCTGCTTTTAGGAAGTCTTACTCCACACTGGCCTGCTCCAAAGCAACAAATGTCCACAGCAAGTTATTAAAGCTCATGAGCCGGAGACTATCAGGAACTTGCCTATAATAAAAAGAAGTTGAGTTTACTGAACAAGGAAGGATGTGCTCTAGAACAGTAGAGTGTCATGCTAGGAGGGAGTTGGGATGGACTTACACTATAGCAAGTGGGCTTTTGCTTGATGATCTCAGGAGGATTCAAGAAAGAGAGGGTCAATTCTGGCTTGGGAGTGGATTCAATTAATGATTGTGTATCAATCATTTTTATCTGGGAGGTGGGAAGATTGAAGTGAAGGTAGAGATTCATTGGTAAAGAAGAAGTCATCACTCAGAGCAGAGGGGAAGGATGCTTAGTTACTTTTGTGGTTGCTGAGTATTCTCATCACCGTCTTGTTTCAGACATGGTCAGCATGGTCTTGCCTCTTTTATATTCTGGGAATATAAATTCCTATGTTTATTAGGAACCTTCTAGTCTAGCTGCCAGCTCTGAGCTATCATCCTGGGGGATTTCACTTTCTTAGTCTTCAAAGTTCATTAAAACTGATTACATTTCCAAGCCTGGTTTTCCTCCTTGTGACTTAAAGAGACATCCAGCCTTTCAAGGTGATACCTGCAGCCAGCTAATCACATCCATAAGCACTCAGATAAATGGGTACCTGAGGGATGTCCTGCAGAGTAACCACAGTGGGGGCAGTGGGCACAATTTTATTAATAATTCTGATGATTTCTTTCATTTTTATCCTTTTCATTTCTTATGCCAAGTGAATACAGTTTCTGATTGAAGGGATTTCCTCATTACCCTGTATAAGAGTCACTGGGATATTGGGAATCTTTCATGGTTTCTAGGACTGAGTCATTAAAATAAACGGACCACACATTTGTAGGGGAACTGCATCCCCTACGTTTATGATGAATCCTGTCCATGAAACTTCTTCCTCTCATTGTCAATGGCCCAAATCTTCCTGGAAACATTAGGAATTAACCAGGAATGAGAACTTGGGGCATTAATACTTTGAGCTTCCCCGTAAATGAGTAACCTGTCAGGCAGTGAAAATTAGCAAGGAAACGTTCCCTCTTTCCTCTGAATTATTCCATCTCTTGCTAGAGCACCGCTGGAGCTGCAGAAGGACATGGCACGGCCGGGCTCCTCGAGCAGGCCCACACCTTCTGATGCTCTCTGATTGTTGGGGACTGTGGTGTTGCCTTCTGTTTCCTGGTGTCTCTCTTCTTCCAGGTGTTTTTCATCTTTCTAGGCTCTCGGTGAATTTGTCCTCGTGGAAAAAGATGTCAAGATAAAACAGAAAGGAAAGATTTACAGTCTCAATGAGGGCTATGCCAAGTACTTTGATGCTCCCACCTCAGAATATGTGCAGAGAAAGAAATTTCCTGAGGTGAGTGAAGAAAGCCTAAGGCAGTAGCAGGGAGAATGCTGCCTCAGTGGGTCCCTGTTTGGGTGGCGGCTTTGGGAGCCTGGCTGAAAGAGGTGATGCCGCTGTTTATGACTCTGATCGGTATGAGAATGGCAGACTGTGCCTTTCTTCATAAACGAGCAACGTCTTTTACAGCTATAAGTTACCTACTCAAGATAATACTCCCTAGTTTCGTTTTTCCAGGAGACATTGTTTATGAAGAAGACAGACCACATTTTCAAAATTCAGGGTTCAGGCCAGAACCTGTCAGGTCATTTGCTTGCTGAGCTACCACCTATTTAGATTCTGGTCACTCACTTTTATTTGCTTTTAGGTGTAGTAATTATATTTGAAAGTCCCATTCATAGGTCCTGTGTTTGCCCCAAGCCTTAGGATGTTCTTTGTCTCTCAACGGGATTACCAAGTTCTGGACTTCATGTGTCTATGAATGCAGCCCAAAGAATCCATTCAGTATATTCACCATACTAAGAGAGCTTTTAAGACAGGTGTGGGAGCAGAGTCAAAGAATTTCCAGATCAAGACTGTAAAGTCTGTTCTAAATTGGAAGAGGAATGCAAGCTTGTTTACAAGTGGGACCATCTCTCACCAAATTCTGGGGGATGTCACAAGAGAGGCCCTTTATCCTGTGGTGGGAAGGCAGTGGTATGGTGTGCCTGCCTGGCTGTCCCTGGAAGTCCTCACGAACTCCAAGGAAAGAGAGCTCATGATTCCATGGGACCAAGAGGCAGTCAGTCAACAGGATCCCAGGACCTGCCTCTGTGGCCCCAAGCTGAAGCTATAGAGAACTTTCTACTTTCTTTCATTTGTTTTTTAAATGAAGTTCTCAAAAATGCAGTTTCCTGTACCTCTCCTTCATAGGGTTGTATTTTGCCATCACGCACAAACCCATCCAATGTCTTGAGGGCAAAAGTAACAGGATGTGAATTGTAAGGTTGATAAAATCAATATTATTTACATGCTTCCGGTCTTGGAGATGTTTCATAGTGGCTCCCATTCTAAGCTAAAAAGTGCCTCTCCTTGAGCCCAAAAAAGAAGATATTTATGTTACCACTAAAAAACAAAAGTCCTGCACAAAAAATACCATAAATCTCTTTGAAGGGGAGATTTCAAATGAGAAAAAAGGCATCAGCTCATGAGTGACCGACAGCTGGTGAACAGGCTGACCCCACGAGGACCCCTTGTAAATCTTACCACAGGCTGGGCTCCCAAATAGAAAACCACGCAAAGAGCATGATTATGCTAGTCAGGGAAGAAACATAAATCCCTTGCCCTCTCAGTAAAACTGGAACTCTTAGAAGATATTTAAGCTCTTTCTCAATTCCATTTTAACTATTTTTCCTCCCAAATAACGCTCTCTGCTCTTTAAAAAAGATGTTTCTTTTGTATCCTTTCTCACAGGCCAGCTTAGATAGTTTGACTACAGCTAGAAGAAAGACACTAGGTTCTAAGGTAAAGTTACACTTTGCAATTTTACAAAATGGAGTAAATTCCTTAAGAGGGTCTACACAGTTTCACAAGAGATGTCCCGGGAGTAAGAAAGGTCCATTAGGCCAGTGGTTCTGAAGAATTTTTGACTGTGACCATTAATAACAAATGCATTTTCTGTTTAATTCAGAGCACATGTGTGCAAGCATGCATGCACATACTCACACATGCTCCACTGAAACAAAAGTAAACTGCCTTACTGTCTACTGTGCTCTAAGATATTTTTTCATTCTTTTCTATTCAATTCTATTCTGTTCTGATCTGATCTCTTCTGTTCCATTCCATTTGTTTAGATTGCATTTCATTTGAAAAAAACATGTTTAGTAATGACCCATTAAATGGATTTTATGACCCATTAATGGATTTCCATCCACACTTGAAAAAGCACTGCACTGGGCAGCTTCTTAGACATTTTACTACATTATAAAATTAATCTACAGATTCAGAATGGAGACAGTGAGACAAAAATAAAATAAAGGGGAATGTATGCATTACATACAGAACAGGGTAACATCACTCGAATAGCCCATAGATGGCTGCCCGTTATTGCACCCAGTATGCTGAACGGGTGGGACTCGTGCAGTGGGATCTAAACAGCAGGTTATTCTGACCTCCTCCTCACTCTGCAACAGCTGTTCAGAGGAGTAGTCCCTCTTAGAAAATAGAAAGTCAGTGTTCACTTATCATGGAAATGGTAGACTATTGAGCCCAACATATTAATCAGTATTTCAATACCGATTCAAAGATGAGACCCTTCTCAACAGCAAAGGCACATATTCCCCAACATAAGGCAAGTCTCCAGAATCCTCCAGTTGTTTTTTAACATGAAATTCTAGATTTCATATGCATCTGCCCCTAGCATAAAAGGAGTTGTTTTGTCTCTAGGAAGTTTTGGTTTTTCTTGCTTGCTTTTTACATAAAATCCCTTACAATTCCATAAATTGAAGACTAAGGATTAGTTGGTTCTGGCCCAGAAAGTTTAGTCTACGTTTAACAGCAGGAAACCAGTGTGAATGCTTGATGATTTCCGCAGGCAATGCTTGAGAGTCCAGGGAGGGACTTTCTTCTTGATGTGAAAACAAAGATCATATTGACGGAAGTGCTGGATGGTCTTGGGAGTGTCCAATTCTAACTGATAAGACAATAGAGATGAATAGACAATAAAACCCAAAGCTACTTTCTAGGATTTCCACCTGTAGATATTTGGAAAATGGGGATACCCTCAACAGAGTGGTGGGCATCCTCCTGGCTACGGTAGAGGTTTGCAGTGATCCCTTAGAAAGATTAAAGGGAAAGTAGGGAAAATAATCTGTGCCCCCTTCCCTCAGCAATTCTCTGAGAAGAGAGAAAGGCAGAGATGAACGCAGGAGAGGATGGCCTGGTGGGTGTTGGCATGAAGCTGCTGCTTTCTCTTTTAAGGTCTTCCAATTACTATTTTTTAATACAGAAAGGCCCAAGGGAGAAAACACTAAATAGTCCATAATGCTTCCAATTGATTGAAACTGTAATTTTTATTCTCATTAACAAAATTTTCAAAAAATGAAACATAGAATTGCCGTATGACCCAGCAATTCCGCTCCTCACACCCCAAATAATTGAAAACAATATATTCAGAAAAAACTTGCACACCAATGTGCAGAGCAGCATTATTTACAATAACCAAAGGTGGGAACAACTCAAATGTCCATCAACTGATGAGCAGATGAAAAAAGGCGGTCCATCCATACAATAGAACATTATTCAGCTGTGAAGAGGAATGAAGTACTGTTGCATACCACAGCATGATGAATCTCAACAACATTTATGCTGAGTGGAAGGAGCCAGATGCAAGGACAAGGTCAATGCATAGAGACAGAAGGCAGATTAATGGTTGCCAAGCACTGGGGGAGGGGAGGACAGAGCCTATTTAATGGGTATCGTGTTTTCTTTTAGGTAATGGAAATGTTCTGTAATTAGATAGAGGTCATGGTTGTACAACATTATAAATGTATTAAATGCCACTGAATTATATACTTTAAAATGGTTAATTTTATCTGATGTGAATTTTACTTCAATTTTAAAAAGTAATCTAAGATTAGGAAATGTAAAACATACAGAAATATACAAAATTAAAGGTGAAAGCCTCCTCTCTCCTTTACCCCCAGCCAGGTTGCTCTTTCCAGGGATGACCACTGCCAAGTGTTGATTTTATTCTTTGAATTGGGATGGTGGGAGGGGATAATGCACATTCATCTCCATATCTACCCCACCACCCTTTAAGAACATCAGGTAGAGCATATTAACTCATCTGATTTTCTTTTTCATGACTTAGAGATTGTTCTACACAAGCACATACAGATTTGTGGCATTGACTGAAAGGGCTGCCCAGCCTTGTGTTGAGAGGACAGATCGAGCTAATTGCTTATGGAGAGCAGCTTTGCTTGTCTCTGATTTCCCATCAGGAGACACAGAGCTGCAATCGAGATCCCAAAATTGTATGCTCATTACCTTTACAAGTATATCTGTAGGGCACATATCTTGCTGAAGTTGCTGGGTCAAAGGGTATGAGCATTTCACATGCTGATGTTACCAAATATTCTTCCAGAAAAGTTGCATCAGTTTATACTCTCTGGCATCATATGGAAGAGTACTCATTTCCTTGTGTCCCTGCCAGTGCAGATATGGTGAATCTTTTTAAATTTTTGTCCATCTGATGGTCAAAAGGTGAACCTTGTGGCTTGATTTGCACATGTTTAATTATGGTTTATGTTGTTTCCTTGTATTTATTGAGCACCTACTTTTGTCTTAGTAAATTGCCTATTTCTGTTCTTAGCAAATATTTAATTAGTATTATTTATCTTTTTCTTCTTGCCTTGTATAAGCACTTAGTAAATGAAGGAAACTAGCCTTTTGTCTGTTATTCATGTTAGAAATACGTGTAGACTTTCAGCTTTTGATTCCGTAGAGGTGTTTGCAATTTTATGTTATCAAATTTATCTTTCTTTATATCTAATGGGTGCTGTGTACCAAATTATAAATTAATGTACTCATGTTTTCTTCTTCTGTGCTGTCCAATACAATAGCTATTAGCCATATGTGGCTATTTAAATTTAAAATACTTGCCAGTAAATAACATGTAAAATTGTGTTTTCATCTACACCTGTCTCATTACCAGAGCTCAACAGTCACACGTGGTCAGTGGCTGCTATATGGGACGTTGGTGATAAAAATTGTTTTCATCACCACAGAGAACTTCATTGGACAGCATTATTCTAAATTATTTGTGATTTTCTCCTTTTAACTCTCTCCATCTTGAAATAATTTGGCTGTAAAGAATGAGGTAGGGATCCTACACACCTCTTTTCTAAGTAGCTAGCCCAGCGCTGCTCGCTAATAGTCCTCTCCCACGCTGATTGAAAGGTCCTGTTCAGCATAAACGAAATTCTCGTCTATCTTTAGGCCCAGGACTGGGCTCTATTCTGATCTACTGGTCAGCGTTTGCATTTCTTCTTTGCATATGTAAATATTGTTAGTTCAATGTGTGCTCTTAGATTTGGTAGAGATACTCTTTTCCTTGTTCTTCATTTTCACAAATGTTCCTGTTTTCTTTGCTAGAAAATTTCAATACCAGTTCTTTCAAGTTTCTTCCCCAAAAAGTCTGTTGATATTTTCTAAGAGTTTTATAGTCTTACCTCTTAATGTGTAGGTCTTCCATCCACTTTGAGTTAATTTGTCATGTGGTATAAGGTAAGTTTTTAGTCTATTTTTAAAATTGGGTTATTCATCTTTTTATCATAAAATTGTAAATTCATTTTTTTATTATGTTATGTTAATCACCGTACATTACATCATTAGTTTTAGATGAAGTGTTCCATGATTCATTGTTTGTGCATAACACCCAGTACTCCACGCAGAATGTGCCCTCCTCAATACCCACCACCAGGCTAACCCATCCTCCCACCCCCCTCCCCTCTAGAACCCTGTTTGTTTTTCAGAGTCCATCGTCTCTCATGGTTCGTCTACCCCTCCGATTTCCCCCGCTTCATTCTTCCCCTCCCGCTACCTTCTTCTTCTTCTTCTTCTTTTTTTTTTTTCTTAACATATATTGCATTATTTGTTTCAGAGGTACAGATCTGAGATTCAACAGTCTTACACAATTCACAGCACTCACCGTAGCACATACCCTCCCCAATGTCTATCACCCAGCCACCCCATCCCTCCCACCCCCTGAGTGGTGGGGGGTAAATTCATTTATTTTTATTAACTTATGTATGCTAGTCTCCCCCTTCAGTTGGTGAGTTCCTTGGGGGCAGAGACTGTCTTCCTGTTTTTGGCATCCTCAGGGCCTGGCCTGGTGCCAGGCATAAATAAGATGCTAAAAAAATTATTTATTGAGCTGAATTTACACACAATTTGTGAACAGTACTACTTTTGCATTCCACCTAATATTCAAGGTTTGGAATCACCTACACTGCCTGCTTTTATTTCAATTCAATCCTTTTTTGGGGGGGGGGGTGCGTGAATATCTCTTGCTTGTCTAATCCAAACCTAAATGCTGCTGATGTCTCTTTCTTTCCTTAGAAGCCTTTAATAGTTACTTTGCTTTGCTTTGCTTTGCAAACCTCCTAAGGCAGGATATGTGGGTAAGGGAGTATGTAATCCAGGTGAACATCTTATATCTTCTCTCTCTGCCTTCTAGGATGGCAGTGCTCCCTATGGGGCCAGGTATGTGGGCTCTATGGTAGCCGATGTGCACCGCACCCTGGTCTATGGAGGGATCTTCCTGTACCCGGCGAACCAGAAAAGTCCTAAGGGCAAGGTAATTCTCATTTGTCCCCTGGCTGTATCACTCAGTAAGCCAGTTGGAGTTCCCTTTCTCTTCATGCCTGCTTTTTGGCTACTGCTCTGTCCTTTTCACATCTGTTTGTGAGTGGGCAGGTGGAAGAGAAAAGAGGTGTATTTCCCGTTAATGAATTTTGAGGCTGTGGTAGAAGCTGAAGTTGTTATTGGCAATTTTCACTGGCCTTGGAATTCCCTGGCCTCATGCCCATCATTCACCATAAGTCAGCTCTGTTCATCTACTGTTTTCTATGGCCTGTGCCTGACTTATAGCTTCAGCATCACCTGATTCTGGATGATAGACCCTTTGAGAATCTAATGAAAGGTATGGATCCACTTCCCAGGAAAAAAAATGCACATAAACATACATATTACATACATTTTTAGGGAGTTCACAGATGACCTGAAGTCTACCCATGAATCCTCTAGAGAGTTCCCAAATTCCAGAATAAGAGCTTCTGGTCAGAACTTATTTAGTACTTCTGGAAAGGTAGCTCCCAGGTGATCTTACTGCAACTTTATGACACAAACCCCAAAATACTTATATGATCAGATGGGAATCTTATATCCAAATGCATCTATCTTGAATAGACCCTCCCATGGAAACCTGTCTGATTTTTAGCCAATCACAGAAATCGTAGGTAAGTAGACAAATCAAAACAAACATCTACTGTACTCTCAGACACACCAACAACTGGCCACATGTATATTTGTCTCCCAGCGTGTGCAGTTTGAATGATTAGAATGCCAGACTCAAAGCCATGATAAGAAATCTAAGAGCACGTGAGACCAGAGGGAAGATTTGTGTGTCAGGAATTTCTCTTCATGTGAGTGTTGAGCTTAGGTATATTATAACTTTCGGAAGTAAGAATCACAGCCAAGTCTTCATGATGGGTGCTGGCACGGGGTAGTAAATGAGATCTAGAAAACGAGGGAATGCCTACAAAGAACCACTCTTGCTGCCTACTCAGTTCCAACACAGAAAATGTTAGGCTATTTCTTAATAATTGTTAAAATGATTTACAATGAGTCAGAAAATATGCCCATGTAATTATAGAGACATTTCCATAAGTACATATAATTCCATGTATAGATCTATATATTCATAGCACCATCACCACCAGCCCTATTGAAAGTATCATTGACTCCTGAACTCTGCGGTTTAGCTTTTGTGGTCTCTGTGAGCGCATCAGTGTGTGTTTTGGCGGTGGGGTAGATGTGTACGCCTTTTCTCCTCTGTGTGCTTGTCTCTGTATATCTGTTTAGATTTTAACTGCAGAAAAAAAGTAGATCACATGGACTGCAGGTCAAAGCAACACGAAGACCTGTACATTGTGTTTTGAGATGAATTTACTACAAGGGCAACTTTAGGTGAAAGGCAGCTTTGGCTCAAAGACAAACTTTATGTGAGGTTGTTGTGCTTTTTTCTTTTTCTTTTAAGTATCTGAATCAACATAGTACAAACAAAGGCTACTTAATTACAGTCTGAGACTTTGTCTGACACCCCAAACCCCTCATCTTGAAGCGCCCAGAGCAAGGGAAAGGGGAAGAAAGAGCCAAGTTCTAGAAGCTGACAGGTAGCTGTCCAGGACCGATTGGCCTCCAGTGTCCCTCCTGTGGATGATCAGGCACGAAACTAGCAGATCCAAGTTTGTCCACACCCACTGGGGCTTCTTTGCTCCCTGCCAGGACACCCACTGCTTCAACAGCTGGAGGTCTAGGGTGAGGGCAGTGTATATTGTTTTACCAAAATGGTAGTATGCCCCCTGGAGTCTTAACTTACTCTCTCCCGAATGCCTGGCTCTCTAACCTAGACCAGAGATATTTCGTTTCTCACTGTGAAATAACAATGATTCAAAAATTAGCACAAGATAGGACTGCTTCTCAAAGAGTTTCACATGATCTTCAGAATGGATTTGAAGAAAAGAATGGGAAAAAAGAAGTTGCAGAAAGCTGGCTCAACCACTTTGTAAGCTGATTACAGAAAGGAACTTGTTTTCTCTTAAATACAGATTTTATACCTATTGGGAAGGAAGGGGAAGATAGTATGATACTGAGTTAGAACAGGCAGCTAGACTGTCACCCTGAATCTAATGTGATGTGTGTGTGTGTCTGGTGGGGGTTGGGGTGATCAGGAGGGAATCACAGCATAATCACCGAAATAGGCCTTAAAAAGGCATTGGGTCCAGCCCATTTCAATGTAATTCCCCAGCCACTCCCTGGAGGCAGGGCAGACGCCTGCTAGTTCCCATAGTGCCTGGTAGAAAAAGCAGGCCTTCCTCAGGAGAGGCTCAGCCCTGGGTCCACGGGCACAACCTGGAAAGCAGGGCACAGGCTGACCTTACCCTCCCCAGCCTGCCCATTTCTGCCTTCCACTGGGAGCCCTTGGGCAAGGGACACAGTAGCCTTGTTGGGACACTTCCCTTGTGTCAGACATTACTGGGAAGGAAGATGCCACAGTGGCCAGCCCAGACAGACTCTGTCCCTGCCCTCAAGGGCAAGCATGTAAGGATATGAAGCAACCCTCAGTGTGACAAACTGAAGAGGGCCGTGCAGGAGGCTACAGCAGTGCGAACAGTGGGCATTAACTCAGTCTTGGGGGCCAAGAGAAAAGGCCGTTTAAACCCCAGCAAACTACCTGGTCAAGCTGACACTTGAGATATGGGGTTCTGCCACGTGATCTCGAACACTGAGGTTATCCTGAGAGGCCACCTAGTACTCTCCAGGTGACCTTCCGTCTCATCTAAGCTGGACTCCTCGCTAGCCATAAGGCCTCACATACAGAGGCTCCTCACCAGGCCTCAGCTTCAGTTTGCCTCACTGCTGAACCAACAGCAAACAAGTGTCTCGATCTCATCCTCCCAAGGGAGGAGGCAGGCCTCTCATAAACACAAAGGTCACAAGACAGCTAGAGACTGACCAGCGGTGCCCCAAAGACAAGGTGATGAACCCAGTGTATTCATGCTAAGAAGACACAGAAGTTCAGCTCCCGGAATTCCCCAGCAAGGTTTAGGGGGTGTGGCTTCGGGATTTTTGGGCCTCTGCAGAGCTTGTCCACCTGACTGTCTTTCTCCCACAGCTTCGGCTCCTGTATGAGTGCAATCCTGTGGCCTATATCATAGAGCAGGCTGGAGGCCTGGCGACCACGGGCACCCAGCCCGTGCTGGACGTGAAGCCAGAGTCCATTCACCAACGAGTCCCCCTCATTCTGGGGTCCCCGGATGATGTGAAGGAATACCTCACCTGTGTACAGAAAAGCCAGGCAGGCAGGTAGTAGGTTTCACCCTGAATGCTGCCTTTTCTTTGTCTTGTCCCTTCTATTAAGGACCCTAAAGGAACGATCATTGTAAACAGTGGTGATGAGTAACAAAAGGCAAAGCCTCCCTGAATCCCCCAAAGAAGAGCCACAGTGACGTGCTCTGCACAGCTCTAGAAGCCAGAGGCGATTCTGTGCTCAGTGGGAAGGGCTCAAAATAAAAACCCACATGGGAAAAGAACAACTTTGATCTGTCTTCTCTTATGAACAGCGGTTAATAGGGTTAGAGTTCCAAGTCTCTCAGCCAGGGAATCTGCAGCTACGGACTTTGGGGCAAAAAGTTTAGAGATCAGTTAAGAATTTGTCTTGGTTGGCTTAAAATTTGAACTTAGTGGAGACTGTTTCCAAGAGAGCAGAGTACTAGGGGGACCCTGAACTTGCTTTGTTTTGAATATAACTAGACTAACCTTGAACTATTTTGAAAAACTAGGAACAGGATCGGAGGAGTATGGAAACAATCTGCACATTTTGAATGAGTGAATTTGGCAGAAGCATGGTTCGCAGCCCTGAATTGGGGGATTGGGAAGCCATGGGACGGGGAAGAGGAGTAAGCCCGGTTTGCGGGGCAAAGTCAGGAAGAGGGAGGAAGTCGGAAAGGTTGCAGCGGTTTGTGACCCCATACTTAGCTGTGGCAAGTGAATCCCTGGGTCGCTCAGGGAAAGATTGCTCTTCTTTCCGGAGGGCATTTGAGGAGCATTATTTGTCCTCGCCAGAGACAAAGGGACAGCCAGGGAGCCACTGAGGGGAGCTCTCCAGCGGGGTCAGAGGGGTGCGCAGAGAGGAGAAAACCTCTTAACTTTTTGCTCTGAGCCACAATAGGCTTGAACCTCTATGCATGGCCAATAGTCCCTTTTCTGGTACTGGCTGTGGGCAGTGCAGAGGCTGGAGCGGATCTCGCATACCATCGCTGCTGCATTTTGCTGTCAGCCACAATAGAAGTAAGCCTCTGTGATGGCTCTCCTAGGGCAAGGGGAGTAGGGGACTGAGTTAAGTGCAGAAGGCTGATAGCCTGGCTCTAGCTTTTCGCTCAGTGTTACAATAAACTCTAGCTTCTGCACACGCACTGTGCAAAGGCTTTTCATGGACTGATCGGTGCTGGGCACACCCTGATCCTCCCTGCCTGGGGACAGCAGTGGGTATGCACACCTTACAGGTCCTTTAAAACTTGGAGTTTTGAATCCCAGCCACTGGCCAGAGATAAAATACAGGAGATCTGTGGCTCTGGGCATGCCAATGACCTGGATGCAGACAGGTTAGGGCAGGAGATTGATGAGGGCCCAGGCCACAGGAGATTGCTCGATTTTCTGGGAGGGCTTCCTGAGCAGCAGCTGCTGGGGTTTCTGCCCCCCAGGGACAAAGGGATGAGGTGACACCATATTCTACCTTCTCCACCACGACGGCCTCTTCCTGCCCACCAGCACAGAGTCCAGAGAGAAACACAGAGCCTCGGGTTGAGGCTTGAATCCCCTACAGTAAACCCTACTCCCTGGTAGGAACATCCTTCTGAGGGCAAGTCAACTTGTGAGCCAGCACAGCAGGCCTTTCCCTCAGAAGATAAACACAAACCCCAGCATGTACTGAGTCTACTGATTAAAGAAAACTCCAAAACATCAGCTTCCAGCTTAACTTCACAAAAAAATCAAAGCATACCTACTTAAAGGAACAAACACCCCCCACTACAAACAAGGAGGAACTCTGTAGAGGAAGGGCCAGTGGGAAAGAGCAGCCAAAACACAACAGCAGACTGTACAGAGCATACACCAGAATCCCTTCCTGAAGATGTTGTTGTTGTTGATTATTATTGCTGTCTTTTTTTTCCTTTTTTTCCTTTCTTTTTCTTTCTCTTTCTTTCCTCCTTTCCTTTCTGAACAAAATTACTAGAAGAAGTTCACAACAAAAGAAAGAAGCAGAGGTAATACTTTCTGCCATAGATTTAATCGATATGGATATAAGTAAGATGTTGGAGCTAGAACTCAGAATAACAATTATAAAGATACTAGCTGGGGTTGAAAAAAGCATAAAAGACACTAAGGAATCCCTTAGGGTAGAAATAACAGAACTAAAATCTAATCAGGTCAAAATAAAAAGTGTTATTACTGAGATCAGTAAAAAATGGAGGCTCTAACTGCTAAAGTAAATGAGGCAGAGGAGTCAGTGATATAGAAGACAAAATGATGGAAAGTAAGGAAGCTGAGAAAAAGAAAAAAACTACAGGATCATGAGGGGAGGCTTCGAGAAATCAGTGATACCATAAAGTTCAATAATATTCGAATAATAGGGGTCCCAGAAGATGAAGAAAGAGAGAGAGAGGGAGAGAGAGAGAGGAACAGAAGTTTTATTTGAACAAATTACAGCTGGGAACTTCCCTGATCTGGGGAAGGAAACAAGCATTCAAGTCCAGGAGGCCCAGAGAACTGTCCTCAAAATCAATAAAAATAGATCAATACCCTGACATATAATAGTGAAGCTTGCAAATTTCAGAGATAAAGATAAAATCCTGAAAGAACCTTGAGACGAGAGGTTATTAACCTACAAGAGTAGAAACATTAGATTGGCAGAAGACCTATCCACAGAGACATGGCAGGTCAGAAAGGACTGACATGATATATTCAGGGTGCTAAATGAGAAAAACATGCAGCCAAGAATACTTTGTCCAGCAAGGCTGTCATTCAGAATGGAAGGAGAGATAAAGAGCTTCCAGGACAAACAGAAACTAAAGCAATTTGTGATCACTAAACCAGCCCTGCAAGGAATATTTAAGGGAATCTTGTAAGCAAAGAGAGAGCCCCAAAATAACATAGACCAGAAAGGCATAGACACAATATACAGAAACAGTGACTTTACAGGTAATACAGTGGCACTCAATTCACATCTTTCAATAGTTGCCCTGAATGTAAATGAGCTAAATGCCCCAATCAAAAGACACAGGGTATCAGATTGGATAAAAAAGCAGGACCATCAATATGCTGTCTGCAAGAGACTGATTTTAGGTCCAAAGACACCTCCAGATTGAAAGTGAGGGGGTGGAAAACTATCATGCTAATGGACACCAAAAGAAAGCTGGGGTGGCAATCCTTATAGCAGACAAATTAGATTTTAAACCAAAGACTGTAATAAGACACAAGGAAGGACACTATATCATACTTAAAGGGTCTATCAAGAAGAACTAACAATTATAAATATTTATGCCCCTAACATGGGAGCAGCCAATTATATAAACCAATTAATAACAAAATTAAAGAAGCACATTGATAATAATACAATGACAGTAGGGGACTTTAACATCCCCCTCACTGCAATGGACAGACCATCTAAGCCAAGGATCAACAAGGAAACAAGGGCTTTGAATGACACACTGGACCAGATGGACTTCACAGATACATTCAGAGTATTCCATCCTAAAGGAACAGAATACACATTCTTCTCGAGTGCACATGGAACATTCTCCAGAATAGATCACATCCTGGGTCACAAATCAGGTCTCAACAGGTACCAAAAGACTGGGATCATTCCCTGCATATTTTCAGACCACATGCTGTGAAACTGGAACTCAATCACAAGAGGAAATTTGGAAAGAACTCAAATACATGGAGGCTAAAGAACATTCTACTAAAGAAAGAATGGGTCAACCAGGAAACTAAAGAAGAATTTTAAAAATTCATGGAAACAGATGAAAATGAAAACACAACTGTTCAAAATCTTTGGGATGCAGCAGAGGCAGTCCTAAGAGGGAAGTACATAGCAATACAAGTCTTTCTCAAGAAACAAGAGAAGTCTCAAATACACAACCTAACCTTACACCTGAAGGAGCTGGAGAAGCAAATAAAGCCTAAGCCAAGCAAGAGAAGAGAAATAATAAAGATCACAGCAGAAATCAATGAAATAGAAACCAAAAGAACAGTAGAACAGATCAATGAAACTAAGAGCTAGTTCTTTGAAAGAATGAATAAGATCGGTAAACTCCTGGCCAGATTTATCAAAAAGAAAAGAGAAAGGACCTAAATAAATAATAACATGAATGAAAGAGGAGAGATCACAACCAACACCAAAGAAATACAAACAATTATAAGAACATATTATGAGCAACTATATGCCAACAAATTAGGCAATCTGGAAGAAATGGATGCATTCCTAGAAACATACAAACTACAAAAACTGAAACAGGAAGAAGTAGAAAACCTAAACAGACCCATTACCACTAAGGAAATTGAAGCAGTAACCAAAAAATCTCCCAAATAACAAGAGCCCAGGGCCAGATGGCTTCCCAGGGGAACTCTAACAAACATTTAAAGAAGAATTAATACCTATTCTTCTGAAGCTGTTTCAAAAATAGAAATGGAAGGAAAACTTCCAAACTTGTTCTATGAGGCCAGCATTACCTTGATCCAAAAACCAGACAAAGACCCCACCAAAAAGGAGAATTATAGACCAATATCCCTGATGAACATGGATGCCAAAATTCTCACCAAGATACTAGCCAATAGGATCCCACAGTACATTTAAAGGATTATTCACCACGACCAAGTGGGATTTATTCCTGGGCTGCAAGCTTGGTTCAACATCTGCAAATCAATGAATGTGATATACTACATTAATAAAAGAAAGGACAAGAACCATATGATCCTCTCAGTTGATGTAGAAAAAGCATTTGAGGAGGAGAGTCCAAGATGGTGGAGGAGTAGGAGACCTTAATTTCGTCTAGTCCCAGGAATTCAGCTAGATAGCTATCAGATCATTCTGACCACCTGCGAACTCAACCAAAGATCTAAGAAAAGAATAGCTGCAGCTCTACAAATAGAAAAGTGACCACTTTCTGCAAGGTAGGAGGTGCGGAGAAGTGAATCAGGAGTGATATATGGGAAGATAGGCTGCGGGTGGAGGGAGCTTCCGTCAGCCGCTACTGGCAAGTGATAGAGCAGCGGAGCACAAAATCAGAACTTAGAAGTCTGCTCTGGTGAGGGACATGGCTCAGGCTGCTAAGCAGGGGTGGAACCCTAGCTGAGACAGTGTGGTCTCAGGACCCTCGGGGTGCTTGAGTGCAGCAGAGTTCCCAGGCATCAGAGTGGGGAAGCTGGCTTTAAAGAGAGTCCAGGAGTGGGTTGTCAGCTCGGGGCTGCCATAAACTGTGAACCGAGGCATAGCTGGGCCACTGCTCTATAAGCTGGGGCCCAACAAGTGGCAGAA